TCAGTTTGCAAGTTCTGCTCACTGCCTTGGCATGGAGCAGCTCCATGGTCCTGCCACAGGGCACATCCCGGGACGCTGCCATCTGACACTGCAGCTCCATGGGAGCCTGTGGACAGCTGGGATGGGGGATCTGCTGTGCCCCTTCAGCTGCAAGGGCTTCCCACGAGTGACAAGGGCTCCAGAAGGGTGGGAGCCCCCACGTTCCTGGCACTGCCTCAGTTTATAGGACATATTCCCTCCTCAGTTTATAGGATGGGTTTGTTTCTGTTTGGGAAGCACCAGCTGACACCAGACCTGGGGGCTCCCCTCCAGCTGCAGGAGCTCATGGAGCATTTCACAGCAGCAGCTCCTTGGGGGAAGGTGCAAGGGGAGATTTTGTGTGAATAAATCTGTCATTGCTTTCCCCCTTCTTTTTGTGATATTTATTGCCTTCTGGATTCTGCTGCTCTCACTGCATCCTTATTATTGCACCTGAGACTGCCACAGTCCCACAGGACAGGCAGGCCCTTGTAGCCCCATTCCCAGCCACAGCCTCCTGCTCCAGAGAACCTTCTTTCCCTTCCCAGCAGAGCTCTCTCATCTCTCTCTGCTGGCATTAACCCCAGCCCTGAGGAGCTGGACCAGGGCAGGGAGATTCTCTTCACTGGACTGCTCAGCCAAGCAGTAGCATCAGGTCTCCAAGTGTTCCTGGGGGGGCAGGTCTGTGAGGAAGGACTCTCCAGCCTCGGGGACCTGCCAAGTGGCATCCTGCAGGAACAGGCTCTGAATTCTGTGTACCTGCCCTGACTGGCCCGTTTGCTGACACTGCCCCCAAAACAGAGCAGTTTGTCCTCAGAAGGGGACAAATCCATGCCCCAACTGGCAAACCCTGATGCTCAACAGGAAAAACATTTTATAACCTCAGAGAAAAAAAAAGAAAAAAAAACCAACAGAAAATGCAGCTCTGGGCACAGGAGGGCTGGGAGAGGGAGCAGGAGCTCCCGTGTCCCTGAGGAGCTCCATCCTCGGCAAGAGCTGTCTCAAACCAGGTAATTCTTCCCGGATGTGACAAGGAAAGAGGCTGTCAGAGCTGTCTAAATGTGTGAACAACACTGTCAGCGGGGGAGAGAAAAGTGTTATCAGAAATAGTTGTTCTTCAAAGCTAAATAACTCCGTGATTTTATAAGGAGAAGAAGATAAGAGATCACACCACACGCTGAGGGCTGTTGGAATTTTCTTTCTGAGAATGAAGCTGTTTGTTTTGGTAAAAAGGGGAAGAGGGGAGAAAGCAAAAACCTAAAATACTTTGACTTTCTTGACTTAGCTCTTGACAAAGCTAAAAATAACTGTGCTGGCACTGAGCCTGCACAGCCACAGCCCAGGAGCAGAGGAAAAGGGTTCCCAGCCCTCTTTCTGGCTCCATCCTGGGGCCTTTCCCAAGGTCTTCCAGCACCATCCCTGGGGATGGAGGAGCGTGGAGCAGCTTTGCTGGCTGCAGGCAGACTTGGGTGTGTTCTGACTGGCATCAGTGGGATTTTGGGTGTTCCCTGGGATCCAGATTTTACCCTGAGGAGAGGCTCGAGTTCTGCTACTCTGAGTGAGACCCTCTGTGCTTTGTGACCAAATCTGTCCTTGCACCAGGCCAGGCTCCTTCCCCAGCCCTGCCCTCTGCTCTAGACCCAAAGGGGAGCTTCAGGCATTTGCCCTGGAATCTCATTTCCACCTCTGAAAACTCCCCACCTCAGAAGCAACAGTGGGGTCATCAAATAAAAGAACATGAAATAGTCTGACATAAGTTGATTCTAATTAGTGTGTTTTCCCATACGCTGGCTGATGCTCTCTGGAGAGCAATTAGTCTGCTTTAAGAGTAAAAGACAACTGAATAATTATTTAACCTGCCTGGGATTGATTTTAAAATCCAAGAAGTCAGATATAATAATGGATGACTCCATCAAAAAAATATATAAAAGTAAGTGGTAAGGGTCGAAAGCCTTTGAGCCTTGTCATCAACAGCTCGTGTGAGGCACCTCTACAAGGCTGAGTCCCAGTCCCAGATGCCTCTGCACCAAATGCCCTACAAACAAGGCAGGAAGAGAAGGTTTCCAGGGAAAAACATCTATGCAAACCAATTCAACCTGAATTATGAAACCCCAGCGTGTGTTGAACAACACATGGCACTGCAGTGGGGAGACCATGGGCTGCACTGACTGGTCAGGGAACAGCACGGTCCCTTCCTGGATCAGTCAGGCAGCAAATCCTCTGGTGAGCCCCAGGAGGATGTCACCGAGCGGGACAGACCTCGTCCCGGCTGTCCTTCATCTCTCTGCCAAGCCACAGGAGGGAAAGAAAGAAGGAATGGGAAGCTGGGACCTGCAAAGCCAGGCAGTACTGGGAAAGGCCACTGGCACCAGGGAGCAGCATCCAGAGATCTCCAAGACACTGGAATTAGCTTCAAAAATAGGGCAGAGGCAGGAATGGTTCAGAGAGAGACAGCAACACTAAGAGACCTTTAGTTTTACTCTCTCAGGTGGAATTTGTTGTTAGGCAGTTGATAGAAGTGGAGACTGTTTTGTTGTGGACTTTTCCCACCCTCTGACTCTCGTCCATGAGAGTGGAGCGGGTGAGGCTCCTGCTCAAACCTGCTGGGATCCCTGACCACGGCTGTGTCCAGCCCCAAGCAGCAAAGTGCCCAGCCCTGCATGGCTCCCCCTCTGCTGCTGAGGGTTGCACAGGACCCCTGGGGTCCCCTTGCCCAGCCATCAGCAGCTGATGTCACACCCCTCGTGCTCTCAGTGGCAAGAGCCAATAGTCTCCATTTGCTCAAATGGAAGAACTGCAACCATTATTTTCATAATTAGCTGGCTTTGCAAATTAATGCCAGTAATGCTGTGTAATCACGATGAAGATTATGCATTAATCAGCTGTCTCAAGCCAGTTATTAGGCCCTTTAAATAACAATGGGAATGAATGTCCCTGAAGGAGGCACAGGAGGGAGGGATCTCGGGATCCCACGGGATGGGGATCTGACAGCAGGCACTCCTGTGTGCCCCCAGGCTCTGAGCAAAGAGCAGGCTGTGCTCAGCACCCAGGACCTGTGGGACATTCCCA